CTCGTATGGTTGTTGAATATCACTCTGTTAAACTCTTTTAAACTCCAGCTAAGGATAATTATCATTCTTCAAGTGCATTCCGGTGAGTTTTCCTCTCATTACTGACCTCTAAGGCAGCACAGCTAACATACATTCTCCACCTTTTAACTTAAGTCATTTAGATTTTTTTTTTTTTGGTTCCATGGGTCAAATCGTGTACCTGTGTGATAAAAATGCACGGTGTTGCTTGGCCTCTCCTCGTTTCTCTGAAGTGTTTTGACTCCTGTGTTGACCCTGCCGGCTGGTTTTGGCATTCCAGCAGGCTGGAGGAGAGGAGAGAGCTGTGGCCCCTAGTAGCCCCCGCACACACACACACACACACACACACACACAGTGTCCTTGGGTTGAGGTGTGCAGGGTTTCTGCTGGTCAGCAGAAAGAGAAAGACTGTGTGATGGCACAAGCATGTCTCTGTGTGTGTGTGTTCTTCTACTTGCTAAAAAAGTATTTTTTGCTACAGAGTGAGGACATTTTTGGAAAGTGAGGACATTTTGGCCCGTCCTCACTTCCTGAAACAGCTTTTTGGGAGTTAAGACTTGGTTTTAGGGTTAGGTTTAGTCTTAGGTATTAGAGTTAGGCATTTAGCTCTGATGGTTAAAGTTAGAGTAAGGGGCCAGGGGATGCATTATGTCATCGAGTCTCCTTACAAAGACAGTCGTACAAATCAAAAATCTGATATTTATAACACACACACGTGCACACACACAAACAAAGACTCTCTCCTTTGCCCTTCACTGCCTGTTTTAGTGTGTGTGAGCAGATGGACAGGTTCATGGACCCTGAGGGAAGACTAGAGTATTTCTCCTGCAGTCACCAAATACAAAGCAAAAACACAAACACACTGTAAGAAGACAGATGAGTAACACAACATAATACTTCTGCTTTGCCCTGCGCTGATACTTTATCAGGGTCCCGTGACAACATGCAGTCTTATCAGAAAAAAGGAATGTCATCATGACATCAACAAAAATCTTTGTGCTTCTTAAAAATGACACAAAATGTGCATCACACTAATTCTGTTTAGAATTTGGGGAGTTACCTTGTGTGTTTGGTTATTAAATTTGACAAAAGAAAATGTGTTTTCCCTGTAGCTCTCACAGAGGTTGACTTCTTCATACTGACAAGAACTGAAAATAGTCAATACTTCAGTACTTGTGTCTGGACAAGACGTTTTAAGCCTGAATGGAACTTTCTCTGGTAAAATAAATGTTAAATCAAATTTAAAAGCCATCAATTCTTTGAGCTTGAGATGAGAGGTCAAATCCTTGCTGGGTTGTTTTACTACCAAGCTGGATCGCACAGCTAACAGGCTCATCAGTGTATAAAGATGAAACCAGTCCTCCTCTGCGCCTCCTCTTTTCTGGGCGCTGATGATTGATGACTCCACACACTCTCAGTGTTTGCCTTCTTCAGACCACTCCACATACTCCGGTTTGGAGACGATATTTGTGGGTTTACTCAGCACTTAAAACTGAGCAGACTCACTTGTCTCTGAAAGGTTTAAATCCCAACAATGAATGGACACTTTTTTTTTTTTTTACTGAAAAATATAAATACAAATAAATGACATTTTAATAGTTTTCAGTACTTTTGGATATGTGTGATGTTTTGTCCTTCTTATATGTCGTGTCATATCTTAAAATTACAAAGAGAACTGAGCTGAAAAAGCTACTTAAATGACCACAAACACATTTTAATAACCACAACACAAGTTAAGTTCAAACTAAATCAGAAACTGATTTTCTTTGGCATAATCAGAAAGAATAACAAAAGTATTTCACAATAATACATACATTTAATTCCAGCTCAGCCCTGGTCCTAATCTGGGCCATGTTCACTCATGCAGCAGTAACAGTGAAAAACTAACCCATCTCTGGGAGCACAATGGCGGGTGCCCCCCTGCCCCTCAGACTCCCCACATAGACGGCGCTGTCTGACAAGCTCGCCTGCCAAACAACTCAATTAAGCAGAAAAAAAGGCAAGAAAGAGAAGCCCAAACAGAGGAGTGAGAGAAAGGAAGGGAAGAAAGAAGACAGAAAAACAGAGGAGGGAGCGGGCCGGTGGCTGTCAGGCCTCTTCGACACCCGGCTGACGTTTAGCGAGAAGCGACACAAACACAGCACGAGAAGAAAAGAAAACTGATCTGTGATGTGTTAACTAGAATTCCTGCTTCCAAGGCTACCGAGGGTTCAGAGGGCAAACTGCGGGCCAGGGGTTCATTGCCACAGCGACACACTCGTACACACACGTCTAAAGGTCTTTGCGAAACTGATCCTAAACTGCTGCAGTACTTTACATATCTGCTGTGCATCATACAAACTTGTTTCCCACTTTCAAGGCGTCCTTTAGGTTCAGTTCACCTCTGTAAATGAAAACCAGCTGCAGAGATTTGTGGCTCATCATAGTGAAGCTAATGCTAAACCTAACCCTTAATATAGCTTAACTTAGTTAACTGAACAAAAACCAAACCAAATTTGTAAAACGAACACACACTAAGGATTAAACTGCATTTAAAAATCACTAATAGGAATGTTCCTATTTACCAGACTCAGAACTGAGTCAGCTTGAGATCATGGATGTGAACAGATTCATGGCCACAAAGAAAACCAGTGTGTGTGGCCTCCTGTCATTCCACTGCAGTCCACAGAGTGAGGAGCACATGTCTGTGCTCTATGGACTGAAAACGTCTCTTTCAAAAACCTCTGAACCTCTTCAGATAAAGTTTGGAATTATTATATCTGCCTGAGGAATGTGACGATTCAAAACAATCCATCATCCCCACTGGGCCAAGCTGGGCTTTGACTCCTGGACGTTTTAATTAATACCCCAAACATACAGTATGAACGACATAGTCATGAGAACAATACCAGGAGCTGCACTGTTTGCATGAGCCAACCTTTTAATCCAGCCACCGGAAAACTGGTTTGGAGAAAATATATATATATAGCATGTCCTTCTCTTACATCCTAATGTTGTTATGGATTTCTGATTTAATATTTGGTGCTAAAATATGAACGTGCAGTGAACTATTGCAACTGTGAATAAGTAAAGAATTGATTATGAATTAACTCTGTACTCAGACTCCAGTCTAATCAGAAAAAAGAACCTTAATGGTGAAGCAGTGCTGACTTTCTACATCACAAACTCCAGTGCACTGTAATGTACTATAGGTAGAGGAGGCATGAGGTTTATGCTGACTTCAGAGGAACATGTGGACCAAGGGGCCATCACCACCAGGGACTCAAACATGAACTGAAATAATTTTATCTACTTGAAGCTGATCCTGTTACAGTGCTTATTAGCACCTGCAAGATAATCTGGGTATCCAAGAGCCTTGTAACTAATACTGAACTGATAAGAAGTAAAGTGAAAGTGGAGCTGAAATACTAAATTTGGATTTAAGGGGTGGTTGAAGCACTGGGCTGAGCTATGCACTTCCACCCTGAATTAACCCGAGACGTGGGCCAGGCCTGAATGAATACTGCAAGTCATTTCTCTTTTCAGTGGAAATCTTAGCATCTGTGTGTGAAAATCCATGAATTGTTATGTGTTTAACAATTACAATTAGCTAATAAATGTGTCTCAAATTTCAATTTGTTTAAATTAATACATAATTTTGTAGGCAATGTACCTAAATAAATACATTTAGCAGTGATGAAGTAGAAGGAAAACCAGAGCTTGAATTATATCGCCATGCCTGTGGTGGGCGCCTTGTTGCCACCTGCAATATTAACACATAACTAACGACCCGTTACAATTAAAATCAGCCTTACATCACTACTAAATCACACCATTTAGAAAGCTTTGCTGGTCATTTCTGATTGTGTAAAGACAATGTGTCTCCTGTGACCACACACCATCTCAGCCCATCTTGTTGCTGGTTGATTGGGGTAATGAGGTGACGGTTGAAGGTGGCCTGTAAAGTTGTAATGAGGGCTGCAGTGTGAATAGGACAGAGGGCTGGAACGGGTGGGAGCGAACACGATGCTTAATGAGCGGGCCGGCAGCTCAGCACTTACCCTGTTGTATCGGCTCCGTCTGAGAAACAAGGGGTGACACGGGATCGGGCATTTCAGGGAGGAACAGCACAGGAGGGCCTGATGTTATTTAGGGAGGGAATGAATAAAAGCTGGGTTAGAAAGTAAATGGGGGTCCTGACCAGCCCCTGTGTGCTGCTCATTGTGGAGATGAAATTTATGGCTCAGGACTTCCTAAGCCAGGGACTCCCCACGTTGACTGGTTAAGTGCTATGAAACAGTACGACAAAGGCTCGAGGCAAACAACACTCTGAGATGAGAGGTGGCAAGACAGGGGACAGTGCAGGACAACTTGTACAATCAGACATGTTGGAGTATAAAGTGACAGGCTGGACACACAGCAGTATGCGGCAGATGAAATCAGAAATATATAGTTAGCCAGTACTTAGTCTAAAAACCTCAATTATGTGAAGGCAGTTTTGCATCAGGTGTTAGAACACAGCTCCACCGCGGCTGGTTCTGTACAACAGAGGGGAAAAGTACCTTAGTACATTTACTCAAGTAGTGTACTGTACTTAAGAATGATTCTGAGGTATCTGTATTTTACTTCAGCATTTTCATTCACTACTACTTCAGCTTCACTACATTTAGAGGCAAATATTGCTCTTTGTCCTGCACTACACGTACGTATTAGATATATTTAGTTACTTTCAATAATCAGGGGAATAAAACAAAATACAGTCTAATCATAAGACTTTATTGATCCTCAGTAGGAAATTCACAAGCTACCCAGCAGTATGTAAAGTACTTCAAGATATAGGTTTGAGGTACACAATATCCATCAATAGTTACAATCCAATAATATGATATGCACTTTTTGCATAATGAGAACTTTTACTTTTGGAACTTAATACTTTTGTATTTTTACTTAAATAACTTTTTAAAAAACTTGTAAGAGTATTTTTACACTGTGATACTGCTACTTTTACTTAAGTAAAGAATTGGAGTACTTCTTCCACCACTACTGTACAATGGCTGCTCTGTGAATGGTAGAAATCTGTATATGTAAGGACGTAAAGTACAGCTGACAGGACACCTACATGGTTTGGCTCTGTCTCAGTCTTTGTTTATGTATTCAAACAACAGGAAGCATGAAGAGAACGTAATGCCACCAAGTTTAAGTTTCACCAAGTTTTAGTTCATAATGACAAAACACTTTTAATAAAGATACTTGACAGGTTGTTGTTGATACTTAACTATATTACATCTTGCCATAAAATATGCTGCTGTAGCAAGAACCTGCATTAACTGTACCTGTGCCTGCTTCTGTTGCTGGATGTTAACCCCCGTCTTTGGCGCTGGTCACCCTGTGACGCCAGCGTGGTGCTTAAATGTGACATATTAGTCTAGTTTGTCCAAGATCAGGGTGTTTGGGTTTGTCCAAGACAAAAGTAAAGTTTTCATCAGTTTCTTTTTTTTAGGTTATAAACTGATAAGTTGTAGCTGTAGCAAGTACTGTAGCTGCAATTTAACACAATCTTCCTGAGATGAATTCAAGTTAAAGTATTAAAAATCTAATGTAGTGTGTTTAGTTTATATTAACTTTATATTTTACATAGTTTAGGAAGCTCATATGTGTGTAGTAATTATACTCTTTTATAGCAAGTGACTGTTGTTTTAGGTCGGCACTGTAACATTGTCCTGTTGGCCAGGTTTAAAATGTTTTTACCTGGTTAAATAGATGAAAAAGTACAATCTGTGGAAAAACTGATGCAGGTTTGGGGCATCCATTGCCATTAACTGGAGTGAAAAGCATTCAGTGCTAAGGCTGCTTTTCTGGTAAATGTGGATGTGCGTGTGTGTGTGTGTGTTGTCTTATGAGCTCTCCTCACCCCATTGAACAACAGTGATGAAATGGAGATGAGTTAAAGTGCTAACACAAAGACAGAGCAGACCCCTGCGTTGCTGCGACAATGAAACCACCAAACACAAGAAAGTGAGAGCCTCTTGGAGAAACACAGAGAATGAGAAGGGGAGAAATTAAGGAGACCAACTTAAGAAAAAAAGAACAGAAGAAGGGCTGAATCATCCTGAGAGCAGGAGGAAATGGATTGCGGGCAAAGGTAGCAGAATAGAGAGTAACCCGGAGAAAATAGCAAGGTAGCTAATCCCTCCAGAGACATAAAGCAGCTATATGTAAATGAAAGAAGTGAAGTTTGGCCATTTTACTTTGATCTATGAATCAGGCTCTCCCTCCCGCACCCTCCTCTCCTCCTTTACTCTCACCCTCTTCTTCTTCCTCATCTTTCCTTGTAAGAAAATCAAGCCTTATTTAGCTTAATCTCACTTAATGGCATACAGCTCCTCTTTTGTCCTCCCTGATGCTAACAGATTCCCTGCCTTTCACTCACCACTATTCACATATCTACCCTCCATAATCCTCTTATTCTGGGGTAGCAATTATTTTGAGTATTTTATCAGCATTATGATTATGATTATTTTCATTATTATTATTCATGCAGGCTGTGCTAAGGGCCAGGTTGTGGCTGAGAATATCCTCCCACCCACCAGCGCCTCTTATTCTCACTCAGAATAGGGCAGCCTGCTTTTTTCCAGAGGGGTGGCGAGTTTGCAGGAGTGAACCCCATTCAACAAGACACATTTTCTGGGCGTTTGAACATATTGTGGAGTGAGCGTAATGAGTAGCACCAAATCACCCGTCCAGACTCCTTAACACATTGAAACATCAAGAATTTGAGCTTGGAGGAGTGAGAAGGGGGTAATAATCAAAAGGCCTCCTTTCTGCAGAGCAGTAATTACATGGGTGGGTTTTGATCTTTTACTTGTTGGGGGAATGAATAGGAGGAGAGATAAGGACTGTTTCACTCTATTCTGAGGTAGTATGGAAGGTGCAAGAAGCGTTTCAGCTGCATCTTGTCAGCCTTTGAGGTACATCAGAAATTATAAAGGTGAAGATCCAATGGACACGATACAGTGCAAGGAGAACATTGTCCCTATTCATTTTCTCTGACTGTATCTTTTCTCATTGCATCTAAAGATAACAGATTATGTAGGATTTAACAGCAGCAAGAAAAAAAGTAGTGAAAACTTTAAGCAAAGCTAAAAAAATGTCCTTAAAAAAATGATGAGTGATGCCAAATAACTGGCAAAGAGAATGTAATGCTGGCAAGGACATTTAGTCTTTAGTTACTGTGAAACCATCTCTGGATGCGAAGATCATTAGTCCTTTATTCTAACCTCCAAGATTACTGGTATGCTAAAAAGTGTGGGAAGCTATTACAAGAGTTGCTGTGTCCTCAGTGACAATGAGTGGTGGACATGTCCTGCCTGTTTCCTCTGGTTCCTATTTATACTACATAATGATGTAAACAGTAAGTAATATAAAACAGTTCTCACAGTAAACTTTTTCCAAAGAGTTTACAAGAAATGTGACAATTTTTCTGTGTATATACTGTTAGGATTCATGTGCTTTGATTCCTTTTATATATATATAATTTACAGCTGCATATATGCCTGAGTGTCAAATGATAAGTATTTTGTAAAGTTTCTCAAGATTAAATATTCAAATAAGCAACAGTCAGAAACTCAGCTAACCTGCTTCAGCATGTCGAACAACTTCGGTCCATAGTCAAAAAGCATTGACTCAGAAACTGTGAAATAACCCAAATGATTCAAACTTTTGGAGACATACGTGTGATTACGTAGAACTCCACTGCTCGCAGTAGAAAGCTGATTGAGAAAATAGGTTTCTAGAGCTTTTAGATACATTTTATTTAATCTGAGCCCTTTATTTGGACCCCTTCCAGCTGTGGGGCCCTAACAGTGCTAACATAAGCTACAGCATACTGCAGTCATATGCACCTTGCACATGGTCACTACAGTTTACAAATGCCAAGAATCATCAAAGTAGTTTTGCTGTATCTGACATGAGAAATGTAATAACATGCATCATTAAGATGCAAAACAAAAGGTGATTATGTCATTTAAATCTGACTTAAGAAACACAGATTTGTCCAATATTGTTTAAAAAGACAGAAGGATAATCATGAGTAGTGTAGTAAATTCAAAAACAATTCATATAAAAAGTGTTGCATACATGTAACAGTCATCAGAGAAGCTCTTCGAGGTTTCACTTTGGGAATCTGGGAGATGGCGTAGAGTGGCTGAACCTGGGCAGTCTGCAGACTCCACAGGGGCACAAGGGCCCTCCTGAGGCCCCTGCAGAGCTCCACTGCACCGGGGCCAGTGAGGCCTCCATAGAGCCTGGAGACAGCAGGGGACATTTAGCTGCAGAGGATGATGAAGTGGACGAAGAAGAGGAGGTTGCTGAGGTAAGGAGGGATTCCTGAGTGAGGAGGAGCTGGCTGGGGCCGGAGATGAGGGGCCACCCTCCAGTAAGCAGCAGCCGGGGGACCGGCCCTGTGTTCACCCCCATCCCCACACTCACCTCCCCCAGAAGCCGCCGCATCTCCTGCAGAGATGAACCCAGGAGGAGGATGTAGTTCCTGGCCAGAACCAGGGTAGAGATCTTGGAGAGCCTGCGGCCTGGAGGAGCGCCCGACTGGTGAGACTGAGAGGAGGCAGAGGCAGGT